GACTGAGGAGCAAGGGAGTAACAGCATGCAAGAATGTAGACAGTCCCTCAGGCAACTTCTTGGAGGGTGTTCCAGGCTTGTAGGTTTTGTTTCCTAGTGGACATCATGCCCCTGCTGAATTCTGCTTTTACATGATCCTACTGTCCTGCTGAGTGTGGCATGTCTCCAGATACAGCAAACTCATTTGGACACACTTTGGTTGACACAATTCAGAAATACAGAATTCAGGAAACCCTGTCCCACTGACAGTGAAGCAAAACTAACCACCTGGGCAGACAGGAGCCCCGAAGAAAATACTGATTCAGACAAGACCCTCCCCAGAATTCCTTCTGCTCCCTGAACTGGGTAATAAAAACAAACTTAATTCCCAATTATGAAATTCTATTGTTAAACAAACATAGGCCATGAAAGCTTGTGTGCCATCATAAAAACATCCAGGAAGTAATTTGATTAAGGCATATATGTGTCAACATCTGATTGATGCCTTAGCTTTTCTAGCTCCATCCTGTACCCATATGCTAGTGTGGTACTTGGCTTCAGTGAGTACAGAATCAAATTTTATGTTTACAAATACCGAACCAAAGCTTAAGCATACAAACTGTCAGTGGTCAGGAAGCAGTGCTGAAAACATATTTTCTATATGGTGCTATACATTTTCCAGGTCTATGCCATACAGAGAGAATTCACAGATTCACAGTAAGTTCTGACTACCTTTTAGATAGAAACTGACATTGCATTTACAAATTTTTTGTTCCTCAAGCTGTGGTCTGCTAAGTGCTGGTAGTCTTTAAGAAGGAGGGTCTATGAAACTGTTTTGTTAAGGCCTGCTAGGCATTTTTTGCTACTGCCCTTAAAGATGTGGGACCTTTTGAAGCTTGTATGGTAACTAAAGGACTGTGACATTCTCAGCTTGCTAAACTATACCACTTTACATAAAATATTTATCTGCAGTTATGAGTTCTTTCATTAATGTCCAATTTTTGAAATCTGCAGTTAAAATCATCTAGCTTGACTATGATCTTCCAGATTGCTTTTCTAAAATGTCTGATTTTTTCATTGGAACTGGTAGGTTTAACTGGCTGAACTAAAACATCAGTCAGGGATTTTATTTATGGTCTGAAAGTGGATGCTCATTTGTTTAATGTGATTGAACTTTACTTGTCAATCCATGTCCTGACTTTCTGTATATTTTGTCCAGGAATAGTTTTAGCTGCTATCAGAACATTGGTGGCAAACTAGATGGAATGTCATTGGTTTTGAAGTACAGGAAAACATTTTTCAGCTCTTTAGATTTGTTGTGCCAGTAGGAAACATGGGATTGAGCTGGAATTCACCGTGAACCAAAAGTGGACGAGATAAGGTTAAGTGACAAATCACTAAAGTACAGAAACAAAGGAAGCAAAGTAGCTCAATTTCTCATTTCCTTTTCCTCTTCTGCAAAAATTCAGAATGCTAAATGCCAAGCAATAATGAAAAATGCTCATAAGATCTCATTTTATCTCTGTTGAGAGCAAATAATGAAGGCACTATCAGTGTTTCTCCCAGTGAACAAATCTTGCCACAGAACTCACCATCATCATTGGCGCAAACTAACACAAGAGCTGGTGAACTCAGCAGAAAAGCTCATGACAGAGTAACCTGGAAATGTGAGTGACAGTGATATCTTGTCAGTGTTTGAAATGGGATGATATGCAGTCCCATGTCAATGCTTTTTATATTTCTACATATTTTGAAAATCATTGTACCCATAATGTTATGGAGTAAAGGGGATGTTACAATCTCTGAGATCTTCCTGACGGCTGTTGCCTCCTGATGAGTTCCTGCATGCTCTGGTCTCACCATCAGCTCTCACAGCCCAATGTTGACTTGCCTCTGTGAGTGGTAAGGCTCACAATTTCACAGATCCCACATTAAGTTCAGAGATCAGCAGCAATCACCTATAAGCAAAGGCAGCTCTTAATTTGCCAAATCCTCATTTGACTCCATCAAAGGCTGATGTGGAAACCATACTTCAGGCTTACAGCTTCAGGAGCTCCCATACAGTGGTATTTCTGGGCACGACACAACAGCACACTAAAAGTACAGCTAATATCAGTAATTTTGTGATTGTTTATAAACACTCTGCTTAGCTCATCAGGCAGATTTTATAGCTTTTGGGGATAATAATCCAGAAAATAAAAAATAGACAGGAGTAGAGCCAACAATGAAACACAGAAAAACTGTTCTGGGTGAAATTTCTGACAGATTTAAAATCATCAGGACTCCGAGTCCAACATTCAGAATGACACAGGGACTCTGACATCTGAATCCCACCAAAAAGCAGGGCTAAATTTTTAATGCCAAAGACTGCAGTGACTCTGCAAAGGCTGTTTAGTTTCTTTAAAACATACTTCTGCTCTTGAAGTGACTCTGTGAGTCTTGATGACTCAGTTAGGCAGAGGTAGCCAAAAAATGCTTATCATATCTGACAAAAGGAAGAGGGGTCCAAGAGGAGGAAGAATGGACACAAAGGTGAGATTGCGTGACAATCATAATCCTCCAATTACCAAGCCACTCGTCAGTGGGCCAGCACTTGATGTGAATTACAACAGCCTCCAAGGTCTTGCAGTGTCTGTTGCCTGCCAACAGCTCCTAGGAGCCAGTCTAGCAATCACCAAGCAGCGCCCCTGTTCTTCTTTCCTCAGGCCACATGCCTTCTCCCAGCCAAAAGGAGGAGAGATGGCACTGGTCCAGCTCTGCCAGCGACTCTCCTTACATTGGAGATACTAAGAAGGACAGATCTGCGGGGTTTACACAGCTTTGCACTGTAGAACAGAAACTGAACCTTTGACTCCTGAAGATATCTATCTTCAGACAATACAATTCTCATTCTGAAGATGAAAGGGCTGCTGAGGTGCCATTGATTGTTTTGGAAATTATTTTCACCAAAGAATGCTGGTACCTCTCCCAGTCTGAATTAACAGCCCGCCAGGGCTGGAGCCAGGAGCGTTCCTCTAATAACAGAACAATGATATTACTTCTTATTTCACTTACGCCACAAATCACACAGCTTGATAGCTTGGAAAAGAAAAGTTGCTGGTACCCATATTTCATTTTAGTGTGTATGAAGACATCCACTTCATCTGATTTGTGAGTACAATAGTAAGTGTGAGTGCTCTGAGAAAAGTCACATCGGTCACACAATATGTAACAGCCAGCTCTAGGCCTTAAGCCTGAAGGTGAAAACATACATGAGGTACAGTTTCTTTCGTGATATCAGGAAGCCTATATTGCTGGTTAACGACTTGTATTGGATTTTGTCATACCTTTTGAATAACCTCACTGACTACTTAATAAAACACTTCAGAGTAAGTAAAATAATAATAAAAAGTGCTCTCTGCTGTACCTTGTTAAAGTGAGTATTACTTCCTTCATGTATTTCACCTATTCACTGATGTGTTTTGGCACTGATTCTGCTATGTAACATAATAGCATTTTTCAAAATAGCACATTCAAACACCTTCCCCACTGCTTTCTTGTATAATACCTACCCTTCTTGCCCATACTGGCACTCTGTTATGGTCACATTTGGCACAGAGGGCAGGGTGGTATTTTATTCCAGCTATCTGACACACCATGCTTGCTTTGGCTGGACATAAAAATATGTTTTCTTTTACGAAGTTCATGACAAAGATGTGCTCCTCTGACTTACAAAATTTTTGGCATGATTGGTTTACTGAGCTGAGGATAAATCACATGGTCAGTATCATTCTTAAGAAAGAAATGCTCCAAGTGTTGGAGCACCCAACACTTTTGGGGTGTTTTCTAAAAACAGCCAGTCTCTGCTTCTATCCCGTGGCTGGATCCCTTTATATGGGAATGTTTCACTTTTAGCAGTCAAGGGCTTCATGAGCTGCACTGTCCCACAAGGATGTGAACACTGGATTTCTCCATGGATTTAAGCTCTGTGTGAAGCTTAATGTAACAATGAATAGTCTTGTGCCAAAGACAGACAAGGACACAAAAAACCCCTCAAAAACAACAAACCCAAAGAAGCTACTTGGTTTCTCTGATTAGTCAAGTTCAGCTGGAGGTCCTCACACTAACTAGACAAGTCTTCGATAGAGGGGAAACAAAATTTTCAAAGAATTAATTTTCCTGATCAACATCACTCTGGCTTTGCTTCCACTGAGATTCAATTAATTACTCCTCATCGAAACTCTTATTTCCTAAAAGTTGTCTGAAGCTTCAGTTTCTGAAACAGTAGGTGAATATATTCACTGAGCAAGGGACGTGTAGCCAAATGCCCCTGCAGACAAGGAAGCTCCTGACAGTCTCATGAATCTGTTGAAAAACTAAACCACAAGACGGATGCCTGTGTGATACTCTCTTGGGGATCTCTGAGGTGAAGGACCCCTAATAGCTATGGCTCATTTCTTTCTGTCCTTCGCTGAATACAAAAAACCAAACATGCCATGTAAAATGGGAAATGCATGCAGAAGGCCTAACATCTTTCAAAGGTCCAGATAGCTAAATCTGAAAGGCTGTGAAATGAGTGGGGCTGAAGAATATCCCACATTTGACCAACAGAAACAAAGACAGCACAGCGATTCAGAAAGCGACCTGGGAGGATTCTTCACTTGGGTCACTTTCACATCTGCACCCAACAAAGCACAGGATCAGGAGAAGGAAGATGATTGTTAACATTACTTTCAAGTATTCTTATGCAATCCCTCTCAAACTGTGGTTTCAAGGTGATGCTACCTGAATGACAGAAATGAGGAGGCATTTTTGCTACTGCTGGGCTAAAAAATCACCATATTTGACCTTACACTACAGTAGCAACTGCTGATTTTACTCTGGAGGCTTTTGGATCACATGATCTGACGACACACTACAGTTTTGATGCCCATGGCTCTCCAGCTGGATTTTATTTCTCTCATGGTTTGGCTGGAAGGTATGGGTGCATGTATGTGTGTGTGAGCATGCATGCATATTTATGCATGTGTGTTACATCCACTTCACATTGCAGGTTTCGGTTTACAGGACTGCTGGTGGACGATCAGTCTGTCTGGAAGAAAAGTACGCCCACAAATATCACATGGAACTAGCTGTTTCTGGGCGCTGATCCAGGCAGCCTCATTTAAAGAATCAAGATCATAGAAACCTTTGGCTGGAAAATTAAAAAAAGAAAGTATCAGCTTTCGTTCTGGAGACCCACATTCAACTCTTTATGGAAAATATTTTCAGGAAATACCTGTTGACTGAGCCTTTCAGTTTAACCAAACCATATTGCTTTTGCAAATGAAAAAGAAAGAAAGGAAAGAAGCAAAAGAGTAAAAAATATATAAAAAAGACTCTGCTTTTTGTCCCATGGGTTGAATTAAATTAACTTAAAACTGAATCATTTTGTATTGTATGAGAGTACAGAGAAAACATCATGCTGTGTGTTATGATATGCATTCTCAGCTAATTATTAACATCTTTGCATACATACTATTATCAGCAAATTTCACTTTTTGGCTTTACTTCAAGTTCTGTTTAATGAGCATGTGTTATCTGACCATGGCAATGGGTTGGAGCATTATCATACTTGAGAATATGCTCTTTGTACTGTTCTGAACAAGGGGCCCAATTTTCTTCCTGTTGAAGTCTATGCAAGTTTTGCCAGTAAGTGGAGTAAAGCTTAGGTAAGTGTAAAACTTTACAGACAAAACCTACAGTTCTTTTAAGCCACAACTTCCAGTGAGGTCATTGCACCGATGCATCTATTGTCATCTAAACACTAATCCAGTCTTACCCTCAGTTATTTTCCACTGTGGGAAGAGTGACTGCTCTGAAAGCTCAGGAGCATTCTTCAAACACTCACATCAGATATACTTTCAAGATTTTATTTAAGTATAAAGAAATCTTGTTTACTTTCATTCTGAAATGGACTTTCACATAGTGTTGTTTCAAACTGATTTCCAAAAAGACCAGGTAGGTTGCTTAATACCTGGATTTAGATCTCAAGAGTTTTCATTTGAAGTGCATGCAGAAAAAAATGTACATGCCTTGATTTGAAGATGTATTTGCTTTGCCCTTCTCAAAAGGTATGACAATACAGAAAAAGAGTAAAAAACTGTTTTTGTCTGTGAACCGTTAACAGCAGACAATTTTTAAAAGAAAAGGATTTGTGCATTTAAAAATACTTCATGGTTTCTGTCATTGGCACATGATAGAGCTCTTCATTAAAGGCCCATACAGTTTTAATATGATTCATATCCAATGGTTCACATAACCACAATAAGCCTTAGATCTCTTAATATGCCTGTTCCTAATGTTCTTTTTGTTAGAAGAGCAACCAAGTAGTGTTTCTTTTCTTGGCTGAGACAAATATCCCCTTTGCTTGCAGGAAATGAATGTGTATTTTCTGTACTTTGGAAAGTTTATTGAATATAAAAAAAAAGAGAGAGAGAGATGACTTTCTCCTTGCAGGCATGTGTTAGGCATTCCACAAACAAAACACTGTGTAATCAGGGCAGCGGTTGTCTTCCCGTGACACTTGAGTTTTCAGAAAAAGATTTATGTAAGTTATAAAAAGTTTTATGTAAGCAGTTAATATTTCTGAACTTTTTTTGAACATTGCCTGTTCCATTCAACAACAGGGGTAATCCCTCCTCCCTAAGTTGAGAAACTGTGAGACATGCAGTACGTGTATGTGGTCTCAAGGTCAGTTATAGAATTTACCAGATGATCGAGAGCAAGTCTTACGGAAAAAGAACAACACTGAGATTATTTTCTTGAGGCCAGGAGCATGAGGCAACTGCAGGGGAAACAACAATTTTAGCTCAAGCTACAGAACTGATCAGACTTGCATCAGCAGGCATTTAGGGACAGATGCTGGAAGCAGGTCAGTATCCCTGGGGAACCGTGGGCATACAACACCTCATAAGAGATGCGTGGCGCCTGATATGACTCATTGCATAAATGAGACAATTTTCTGATTCATATCTGGGAGCCTTCTGCTGGATTATTCTCTCAAAGAGTGGTTGTCTTTCTGCTTCCACTCCTTCAAAATAAGAATAGTGTATTTCAAAATAACCTGACTTGTCCTTTTGCATCCTCCTCTTTCAGATGGAATTCTCATTTTCTCCATCTTTTTTTTCCACACAACATGTAATAATTAAAAAGAGCTTAACAACAAAAAGAGCAAATACAATGAAAATGTCTTTTGAACCTATCTTTTACTGCAGATTCAACTCTGCTGCTTGGCATCCGTTAACCAAGTCCTGATCTGATATTGTTTGAGCTGCGATTATTATTATTTTGAACAGCTGGTTAGTGCTCTCAGTGATCTTGCTCTCTTCTGCATGTGTCTTCTGGGGACATATTTCTTTGTACTGCTGTAAACTGATCTAGTGTATGACTCTTTCACAGTGAGTTGTAGGAGAATTTGTCTACTTTTCCAGACATTAGGGGAAGCTGTGGGAGATTATGGGGAATATAAAAAAAAAAGTGGGTGAATTAACTGCCTATAAGCAAGTGGTCCAAACTTGGCCCAAAGTAGCTCAGACTAGCTGGCAGGTCCAGGGAAAGCATCCAGCTGAAATGGTGAAATAACTTTATGTGGGAATGGGGAAGTCCTGGAAGCAGCTTCCAGGCAAAGCACAGATGAGATTTCCTTTTGGTCCTACAGTAAGCACACACCCCTGGGACACATATGGGAGCCCAGCTCTGTTGGGTGCTGGGGATCATCAATTTTCATTGATTTGAAGAAGTGGGGTCTAGGCATCTTACAAAACAGAACCCACAGCACAAACACATATAACTGGCAGAAATAAAATGTTTATTTTATATTACATATATTTTTCCCACTGTGTTTATATTATAATGTCTCACAAAGAAAGCTTCTAAGGCTTGTAAATAAAAAGGGATCAATAACATCCACTGGATGTTCATCGTAGAAGATACTGCATTTTTATCTATAAATATATTCTAATAAAAACCTGAAACTACAGTATATGTTATAGGTAGATTTTAAAAATATCTTATTTATTACCAGTCATCATCCATCTAGTATTCTATTTCTTATTTTAGCACAGAATGCCTGTTTTCGAGGCCACTCACTGTTTACCACTGCCAAGTGCTAGTGTCAGGCTTTTTTTATAACCAACGCTATAGGTGTAACACCTGGCTGAAGTATCTATCCCTATGTTGCCTGAAGGGTATTTTATTTTAATGACTGTATGTGTCAAGTCTGCACATTATTTTTGGATGCTTTTGCCCATTTTAAAATACGCCTTTCTACAGCGTTGAAAGTAGTCAAAAGGTAGTGATGTAGCTGTGAAGCAGGTTGCTAATCTTTTTGTGTTTTGATTCAGAACATACTGACACATAAAGAGGATTGTCGCAGGAGGCATGTCCCACAAGGCAACGACTGCTCTTACTTCTCATGGATGCAGCACAAAAGGAGAACAGGATACTTAACAGAAAGCTTGAAGCCATGATGGCTACCTTGTCTTCAGAGTAAAATGGAGAAAGAAGTACTTGCAAACCGTTAAGCAAGTACGGTGCTTAACGGCAAATGAAGAGCTCTATCATGTGCCAATGACAGAAGCTTTAAATTCTTTTTTTTTCTTCGTCCCACCTTATTCCTCCCATTTCCTCATCTGGTCTGTAGCTTACCTTGTATGGGACTGACTTCAGGCTTTTTGGGCTCTAACCTTCTCAAGTGCTTGGGTAGCAGGTCATTCTCCTGGTGCCACTTTTTCAGGCATTGTGGCTCATGGATGCTAATAGATTTTGTTCCGTACTCACGGCCACATATGTAACAAATCACTGCTGGTGGCCGTCTTATCACTTGTGCCTGCAAATAATAATTGTGAAGATGAATAAATATTGTTTTCAACATTAATTTGAATCAGAACAACTTTGGATGAAAACAATCATGTAGATTAAGAAACCAATTCGTATCTGTGAAATCAGTGTAACTGTTTCTATCAGTTTCATTTTGTCTGGATTCAGTCTTGAAGCCTGTAAGAGATACTGCCTCATTAATTGGCCACCTGGAACAGGTAGGCTCCTTCTACAGATACTGGGCTGAAAGTTCATGTGTGTCACCTAATTAACACTTAGCTATGTAGGTTTTAGCTCTTTTATTTTCACACCATCAAGTTCACGGAAATGCTGAATCTTCACGTGCAGAAACAACTCCTCTGCTTGATCAGGTTGCTGCAGCACAGTCTGATCTTAAGCGTTGAAGCCCTTTTTTTGTCTACCAAACAGAAGTAACATGGAAAGCAGCAATAAAATCTTCCTCAGCTGACTGCTGATATCTAGTGCAGTAGCAGAAAGACCCCATCTCCAGGTAGAACACAGTTAAAGTGCTGTGCCCAGTCTTAGCATCTCTCTTAAGATGGACAGTGAGGGCAGCTGTCTCAGGTTTGTGATTGTGGTCCCTAACCCCGTGTTACTTCAGTTAGCTGGTGGAATTCTTGGCCTTGAAGGATTAAAACCAATCCAGGGTATTTCAGGATAGGGGGGCAAAATAGGAACTGTTGCTTGTTCATCTCGAAGGCCTCAGTGTGAACTTTGCCAGTGACTGCAGCAGGGGCAGAACTGGACTCTAAGCAAGTCATTGTTTCTGCACTGCGGATCTCCTTTTGTTCACAGAGAAAAACAGCTCAACGGAAGAAAAAAATCCCTCAACACCAAACCCCACAAATACATATTCTAAGCTTGAAAAATATATAATTACTGTGGTATTGCAGATTATGGACTTGACTGTGTCCTTAGGCACGTCCTGGACTAGGCGTGGTGTCAGTACCAGCCCTGCTCCAGGAGTAGCGTAAAAACATACTGCAGAGACAGCACTTTGAGGTGCACTGAAGGGTCTCACAACTGCCAGAACTTCCTGCACTCCTGACTGCAGAATACCAGTAAGAGATGAGCTATTCCCTGCCCTCCTAAAGGTAGAGGGACAGCCATGCCAGACCAAACACGGGAAGCCTTTCTCACTCAAACAAGGGAGGTGGGGATTTCGTTTTTTTCCTCTGCTGCTGTGTAAGACAAAGCATAACCTGTTCCAGTATTTATGACTCTCTCTGTCAGCCCATCAGTGTATTCAAGAAATTCTGGGCAGCTCTTCTCGCATTTATGCTACAGTCTGAAAATGTCATTAGTGAACAATCTGCATAAGCTTTCTTTCCTGTATCACACATGTAAACTCAATTACATGAAGAAATACTACTCTACAAAGTGTATTTTTGCTGGGAAAAGTTGGACTTCATCTGGAAAGTTCTCACAGTGAATTGAAAAATAACTTATCCAAAGACAGTCTTTCCAAGGACATTTTCGTCCTCTTAACTTTCAAATGGAATTTCCTTAGCCACCTTTGATAACAAGGTATTTTTTATATATACGGAACTTTGTCTTCCTATTCATAGCTGAATATAGCAACAGCTGTTTTAAGAATTCCCTCTAATTTTTCATTATCAATTTTCACCTACTTCCTTACTTCAGCTCTTGAGCTAGACCTTGTCTGATTTGGAGATAAGACTCTGGGTCCAGATACAGAGTCTTTTCAAGGCGGTGTATGTTTCTTTGTAGACTCTGGAGAGATTTAGATAAGGATACTATAGTCTAAACTCTTGAGGTCAGGGGACTCATTTCAGTGTGCATGGTTCTTATGGGTATGCTTATAGCATTTTAGAAATGTTTTAAAAAAAAATGCTAGGTGTAAAAACTAGGGAACACATTTTCCTCTCTAGTTTTCATTAGCTTGATCCCTGCCATTCAGTAAAATTGATTATTTATTGGCTGAAAATTAGGAAAGAGCAATTTGATTTACATTTAGTTTGTAGGGACTCTTTATATAATACCAGAATGGGAAAAAGGAATCCTAGTACAAATGAAAATCACGCTTACTTAATCTGCACTGTCACTATCATTTCCACCATATGGGGTAATATAATAAAAACAAACGTATAGCTTCAAGGAGACTTAAAGTCCTGATATGAGACAGGTGAAAAATCACTTAAAAAATTAAATACTCCCAATAAATTTAACAGACACATAGAAATATCATTGTTAAAATCAAATATTTTTTTATCTTAGAAATATTTCCCTAGTGAAAAGAGATAGCCTTTTATCTCTGACTGCTTCATTCAAATCCATCACACTTGTTCTAAAGCCATTGTGATGTCCTACTATTGAACAGCTGCCAGAGATCTGCAAGACAAAAGTTAGTGATCTCCATCCAGTGCAATCTGGATACATTTCCACAGTTCTGAGATGGTCTTTTTGGTAGTCTCACCTGAAAACCTAAAGAGTGACTGAGCAGTACTGTGATCCCTCCAGATCCTGACAGAGTGTTTATAGGTGGGTTTTGTGTTGCTACTGAGGAAAACCAGGCCTGCAGCTAAATAGAGGATTCTGTTTTCCGAAGTTATCAATTGGGATTGATTCATAACTAAATCCTATTTGGTGAAAAAAATGTTTAATAAATCTGTTCAAGTAGAAATGTCTCTGTTTTGTAACTTCCACAATTAAAAATTGTACAGAAACAATAGAAGAGACCAGAATTAATTAAAAGGAATCAGATCACTCTAAGGATGGAAATATTTTTTCCAGAAATGTAGTGAGTTTGAACCATCACCACACATCAAATTATATACACAAATCCTTCTCTGCAAATACACACGTTAAAAAGCTGAAAAATAAAACCTGAAGGAGAATATCCTTACAATTGGTAGTAACAGCTCTTTTGTTGCTTAACTGTGGAATCCGAGGTATGATGAGCTTTATTTGGAATTTCTACAGCTGATGATATTTATCCTTCATTTCTTTTTCTCTTCAGAGTGTGCCTATCCCAAATGTCACATCTGGAGGCCTGCAGTTTGAAACTAAACTATTTTTGGAATCACCACAATTTTCCAATCCAAACTACTCAAAGGCCAGTGGCTAGGCTGTCTGCTCACTGCTTTGTTTTTCACTTTTAAAAAGGGTTGTAGGGAAGGTCTGTTCCTGAGGATGTGTTATTATAAAAATACCTATAAATACCTAACAGTGCAGTTAGGCTTTCCTCTGGTGTCTCAGTATTTTCTTTTTTCTCCAAGACTGCTAAATATGTCTGCGTGACCATGAATGAAGTTATTTAGCTCAGAGGGCTATGCAACTATGTATTTTCAATAGACCTGACATTACTTGAGGTTAGCCCCAAGCTGCTGTTATGGTGTTACATGAGGTCAAACCCTCCCATACTGCACAAAGCTTTTAATTTCTTCTTAAGTACACCCAGCAAGACTGACTCCCAAACTCCCCTCCATAAATATTTATTATCCAAGACCGCACCCCCCACCACCTTTCTTATTTGTTTAATTATCCATGTATTTTAATGGGAGGAGGGGAGGCCTCCTGCTCTAGGCCAGAGCTCTCGTCATAGGCTTGAATCACTCAAGGAACAGAGGTTCAGGAAAAGATGGGTACAAACACTTAGCAACAGCATCGTGTTGTATGAAAGCAGCCCTTTCCACACATTACTCTCTGGAAAGTAAGAGGCATTTTGCATAAGTGACAGGGACAAGCTGTGGCATGGCTCTCATGACCATCCAAAGGTGCCTTTCACTGCCTTCTGGAGTGCTTTCAACCACTGCCCCGACACAACAGCAGGCTAACGTTAAGACTGGTCATATGCCTGCGTATGAAATTTCCTTGAACGGCAAGGTAATTCTGCCAGATCATGCAGATAATTAAAGATTTTACTCCACTGGAAACACTAGAATACCCCATTTTACTCCTGATGTGCTATCTTTTAAAAGAAATACATCAGTATAATGAACGTGGCATTTGTGTAAAAGCAGAAAGGCAGGAAGCTCAATCATTCCCAATGATAATACTCAAGTTTCATTCAAACCATCCATTCACTGTTCATTCTCATCTAACTTTCTATATTTGCAAATATATTTGTCAGTATTCTCCTAAGAAGATGTTCAAAACTGCATGTGCTGCAACTGAGGCAAAGTTTATCATTGACTTTCCACCTTCATGAGTATTACACAGCGTCTGAAGGAGTTTTCATTTTACTAAGTGAGTAGATGACTTTATGCTAAAGCAAGATACAACATCAATATTTTTTTGTTACACAGGTTTTCAGGACTTATGCTGTGTTAAAATGCATTACAATACAGAAAAGGAAGATCACTGAAATCTTATTTTTAAGTAGTTAACTTGATAAGAAGAAAACAGCAGATGGCAGCACCAGATGCTAGTGACATGTCTGATAGGATTTTAGCATCAGCATTACCTGTTGTCAAAAAAACTGTAACACATATAGCCACAGCAAGTCATTAATACTCACTTACATGTATAGACATTTTGGTCTATGAAAGAAAAAAAACCACACTCTGCTCTAGTGCAAGTCTGAATTTCAGTAGTTCCAGACATCACTTCCATTGTCTGGGGTATCACAACAGAATCCAAAACAGAATTTCTGAGCTGATGCGGTCCTTGGGAGTCTCTTAAGCATAGGCTGTTGTTTGTTTTACACAGCCAGACATGGTTAACTCAGATGTGTTCATGCATTCTGAGAGCGAGGACAGTTAGTGGAAGAGATGGCTTACAGAGGCTATTGAATCTCCAGCTATAAAGGCATTTAATGCCAAACTAAGTGTTTGGCAGTAATGACAGTTGATCCTGCACTTGCTAAGGGAGAGAGAGCCCCAGGACAGAGGCACAGAGGCAAAAGTTCTTGCAGTTGTAAAGTTAAAATGCCCTTCACATGGTGTACCACCAAATCAGTCAGATCTTTATTTTTCAAATAGGAAAATCCAGCCTTTTAATTTAGGACATCTTTCATTGCACAAATTAATTTGACAGTAGCATTACAGTTCTTAAATACACTTGTAAAAGTGTTGGGTGTTTTTCAGTTATTCCTTTCCTCTGATGTTTTGTTGAATCAGGACTTTAAACAGGTACTTAAATAATTCACTGTCACAGTGAGTAGGTCTGTTAAGTGAGACATGGACTGCCTCAAATGCTTTCCTGCCAGGACCAAAGCAGATTGCCATTTCACTCCACTTCTGGTATTTTTTAATAGAATTAATAAGCAGCTGAGTAGCTGCTAAGGTGAGCAAAATTAAAACCATATGCTGGAAAATGATGAAGGCTGTAGAGGAGACCCAGACCTTGTCCCTGTTCATAGTGAATCTGCAGTCCTTCCATGAGCTTAGTGCTTTTCGACATCCTTCAATGTGTGGACCTTTCAAAACTTTCAACTGGAGGTGGAGACCCTCACACAGAGAATTTAAACCTATAGAAAAAAGGCTTCCTTTGACCACTTCTTAAAAGCAGTCTGCAAGTCCTGAACAGCCCCTGGGACCACAGGATA